CAGTATTCCATGTGTACTGGTGTATGTGTTTGCAGTATTTCATGTGTACTGGTGTATGTGTTTGCAGTAACACCGTGTTTACATGTGACGGGATCTACGGTGGCCGTGTGAGGTCAGAGCGCGTGTCCGCGGAGGGGCTGCGGTAGTAATGGAGGGGGTCACAGTCGGCCAGGTATTTGACGCAGAATGTATCCTCAGCAAACGGCCCAGGAAGGTAAGAGCAGCCGGTACCGGTGCAGCGGGACCCGGGGAGGGAGCAGGCGGGAGTCGGTGTGTCTCTGACGGTGTGTGTGTGTGTGTTTGTCCGCAGGGGAAGTTTGAATATCTGGTGAAGTGGAGGGGGTGGTCGTCCAAGTAAGTAGCTCACTGCTAACCGCTGCTAACCGCTGCTAGCCCCGCTGCTAACCGCTGCTAGCCCCGGGGATAGTTCTGGAGCTAACCGCTGCTAGCCCGCTGCTAGCCGACACATCCAGGAACAATGCGCGGCTGTGGCCCGGTGTCCGCGTCTCCACAGCGGCGGTAAAACACCAGCTCACCCCGCAGCCGTGGAACTCACCGTCCAACAGCCGCCGCTGCTCCTCCCGTTGTCCGGTTCCTCTGTGTTTTCACACCGGGAGGCTAGTGCTGCAGGACCGGGAGCAGCCGCGGGCTCGGCCGGGTCACCTGAACGCCTCACCGGACACGAGCTTTAATCATGACCGTTAAAAAGCTCCAGTGAGACGTTCACTGACCCGAGTCCTGTTCATCACATCATTATTATCTGACAGTTTAAACACTGACACATCCGGTTCATCATCAGGGAGGAGAACAACACGAGGAGCTTCTGATGGATCCACTGAAACTATTAGAAATGTGTCGCAGGTTAATTCTCAGTGAACTGATGGTTTGTTAGAAAAGTCCAGGGCTCTTGATTCTAACGCTCATCTCATTTGTTCAGACACAACAGTTGGGAACCAGAGGAAAACATTCTGGACCCCAGGTTACTGGCAGCGTTTCACAAGAGGTGGGTTTTTCAGTTGTTGGTGAGATTGACATGAAGTTCAACAGGATTGAATGTTGAGTTTGAGTGTTTTCAGATTCTCTCGGTTAGTAACCGACCTGAGGTTTAATGAAGTTGTTTGTTTTTAGAGAACAAGAGCGGGAGCTGCTGTTCCAGAAGAAAGGGAAGAGGCCGAGAGGTCGACCGCGGAAGATTCTGGTGAAGCAGCTCGGCTTCGTTAATTCTGATTCACCTTCAGCTCCTTCACTTTCACTCATCATCATCATCTTCTTCTTCTTCTTTTCGACAGCCCGCACCAACCACGGCGAAGGACAGCCGCTCCTCGTCCTCCTCGTCCTCCGTCCTCTCGTCGTCGACCTCCTCCTCCTCAGAAGATGAAGAGCACACAAAGAAGGCGAAGCCCGGCCCCCGTGTCCACCCCGTCCCCCAGAAGAGGCCCCAGATCATGCTCGCCAAACCCGACCCCCCCCTCAAGAAGAAGCGTGGGAGGAAGCCGCTCCACCCCGACGTGAGAGCATTACGACAGGCGAAGAGCAGACCTCCTCCTCCTTCTCCTCCTCCTCCTCCCTCTCCCCCGCCGACTCCTCCTCCACGCCACCACCAGGTCCTCAGACCCTCCAGAGACGAGGCTCGGCCTGGCGTGAAGAAGCCGCTGCAGCCGGCCAGCTTCACTTACACCGGCCTGAGCAGGAGCTCCAGAGATGTGGCCGGCTCCGCCTCCTCAGCCAGCAACTTCTCTCAGACCACCGCCGCCAAACCCGGAACGCTCAGCTGCATCTGGACCAACCGCTCGCTGTCCTCCTCTGCTCCGTCCTCCTCCCACCACAAAGCCACTCTGTCACCACAAAGTAAGAACTCTGTGTCCGAGCTGAAGCGCTCCATGTCAGAATCCGGCAGCGGCAGCTTCAAAGTGTCTCAGCTGAAACAAAGCAGCGGTTCAGCATCGATGAGTCTTCACAGCAGCTTCAGCGGCGGCCAGGCGGCGGCGCAGCGCTCCCAGCTGAGCCAGAGGAGGCAGGACGCTGTCGGAGGTCAGAGCACATTGGTTCAACACAAACAGCAGAGCTCCGGTGTCTCCAAACAGTCATCACTGGCCACATCTCGAGAACGAGCCAATCAGGCGCTGAGCCTCCGAGCCCTCAACCTGCAGAGCGTCAGCAAACCACCGGGTGCTGCCGGATTCCAGAGCAACAACACAGGCAGCGCTGCAGCGTCAAGGTCGAGCTTAAGGAGCGGCAGCATCGTGATTAAGGGAGGAGTGGCGAGTATGAAAGAGACTCGAACATCAGCGTCAGGGCAGCGTTCCGGTCTGACCGCAGGTGGCGCTGCAGAGCAGGGCAGGGGGAAGGACATGCTGGCAGGAGGCAGCTCTGGCCGAGGGAGCAGCGGCGGGAGGCAGGAGGACAGGAAACACGGGCTGAACTCTCAGAGCCGGAGCCTGAACGAGCTCAGCACCGGAGACTCCGACGAGACCAGCAGCAGCGAATCAGAGCACGGCGCCTCCCTGTATCCCAGCAACAGCCGGCCCAGCCTCGGCAACAATGCCACCGAATCGGACACAGAAACAGACTGGCGGCCGACGCGGAACCTTCTGGAACACGTGTTCGTCACTGACGTCACGGCCAACTTCCTCACGGTGACGGTGAAGGAGTCTCCCACCAGCGTGGGATTCTTCAATCCACGAAACCACTGAGGCAACGTTGACGCTGCGGCGGCCCGCGGAGCTCTGCCGGAGCCGACGCCCTCCTGCTGCAGCTCTCAGGGTTCCTGCGCCGCTCGTCTACAAACAGCTCGTCACTCTCAGACACTTTTACTCCTGGAGACGTTTCGCAGTTTCATCCAGTGACGTCAAAGGAGGAAACTCAACAGACAGATCGTCATGGACACGAATCTCCTGCTGTTTGTTGAAACATCGTAGGAACTCAGATGTTGAGACGCTAAGTTCAGTCTGTGTGAGGAGGAGTCTGGTCAAGTATTCGACAGCATCACCACAGAAACAAAACACTTCAAGTGTTAGGGCCGGTTTAAATCTACTGATGGATGTACGACGCCACCTCTTCAGTGCCTCAGGTTCCACTGCCGCCGCTCAGCTGCTCGCCAGGATTAGTTTGATTAGGACGTTTGCTCGTCGGACCTCCAAACACAATATGTGGCTTTATTTTCCAGAGCAGCATGTTTTGAAAATATATTAAAAAAAGAAAAAAAAAAAAAAGAAGTGAAGTCCGTCTGTGATCCGTGAACTTTGAACCATGAACTGATCCCACGTGGGGTTTTCAAATCGTCTTTTGTTGTTGGACCAAAGGTGTTTCGAATGTGAACGCTCCTGTTTTTAATTTTCTGATTGTTCCCTGAACGACGCACAGCTGATTCCTCGCCCTGATCTCTGTTCTGAGACGTTCCTGCATCACAACATTTCTCACTTTTATACAGTTTTAAAACGTTTTACCGTCACAGTGTCTTTGAAATATGTGTTAATTTATATTGTAAATATGATTTCTGTTTCTTCATGTTGATCTTTATCTGGTGCTCATGTTGGTTTATTAGCTTCGGACACGTGTAGCCTCTGAAATAAACCAGAACAACCTGAAGTCTGTCTGCGGCTGCTGTTCACACCTTCACCAGTAGGTGGCTCTGTCAGGCAGCCAATGAAGCTGCTCAGTGTCAGAGGTCAGAGGTCACGACACCAACTAAAGATAAATTCACTTATTATTAGAAGTTCATGTTGAAGAACAAACAGCTTCATCATTATTATAGAATTGTTGTTTTATAATGTGAGTAAAGTTATACACCTGGAGGCCGAGTTATCAATTATTGCTCATCAATGTAATTATTATCTCTTTATATAGAACCTTACAGGAAATGCAGCTTTAGGTTCTTTATAACAGAATTTACATACAAATATATTGATAATGAAATTTTTCACAGTTTTCTGTGAGTTTATTAATCAATAAGTTTCAGGTTTGAAAAATAAACTGAGCAGGTGAAATAATCAACTCATCAATAACCAATAATAAACCACATGAACGGATCTGATTCATGAGTGGACAGTTCAAACACAAAACACATGTATGTAACATGATATATACATGTAAATATATTATTATATTAATATGATCATCAGTGGGACAGAGCTGGATGTTTACACACACATCACTGCAGTAGCTGAGTAAATGTACTTAGTTACACAAACAAACATACAACTCATCACACAGGGATGATGTCTGCAGGACAGCTGGCAGCAAGTGTGTGTGTGTGTGTGTGTGTATGTGTGTGTGTGTGTGTGTGTGTGTGTGTGTGTGTGTGTGTGTGTGACTGACAGCAGCTATCATCCCACAAAGCTGCAGATTCAGTGATTTATGGTCGGAGCTGCACAGACGTGGAATTTTCCCAAAATAAGTTTGAGTAAACAGTTGGTGACAGAGAAGCCTCACAGCTCAGTGGTATGTATAAACAGTTAGAGCAGTGTGGAGCAGTGTACACACACACACTGACACTCACAGACACACACTCACACAGACACACACACATACACACTGACACAGACACACACATGTTTTTAATTGTAACGTTATTCTTTAGAGTAATAATGATTTTACACTAAACATCATCAGCACAAACTATTTTTAAACAAACAATTAATAAACAATTAAATTAGAATTCTAGAAAATAATCAATTGGTTAAATTGAAATAATCGTTATCTGCAGTTCTGGGTTTGTACCGAATATTAATATTTATAACGTTTTTCACAAAGTGCGACACTTTGATTCTGGATGACCGACAGAATAAGAGCTTGTTTCTTGAATATGACAAAAATAAAAAATATATAAAACCAGGCAACAACTACACACACACACACACACAGACACACACACTGCTGCCAGGTAATCCCAGGCTGCAGTGTGTGTGTGTGTGTGTCTCTGTGTGTGAGTGAGTGTGTGTCTGTCTGGACTGAAGGAGTCTCCCTCTTGGCTCAGACTGTCATCAATCTGCTGCTGAACTAACACCATTGACTGTCAACACAAACCTGCAGCCTGTTAACACACACACACACACACACCTACACACACACACACACACACACACACACACACACTGTCTGAATTCTTTGGATCAACCTCATCACAGTAAAATGTGGTGACGTCGTTTGACAGAAAAACGAAACGTTTCCTGCTGCTCACGAGAAACAAACTTTGTTTTTATTTGTTTCTTTTCTTTCTTATTGAGTCTTTTTCTATAACGAACGCTTCATCATCTAAACTCACTCAAACTTTTTACTATTAAACTTTTTGTGGCCTAATTTTTGTTTTTCATAACTCTGGAGAAAAGTATTTAATTTATACAGTACAAAAGTGTGTGTGTGTGTGTGTGTGTAGGTGTGTGTGTGTGTGTGTGTGTGTGTGTGTGTGTGTGTGTGTGTGTGTGTGT